TCTTGTTACCCAGGCTGGAGTGCAATGGCGAGATCTCGGCTCACTGCAACCTCCGCCTTCTGGGTTCAAGCAATTCTCCTGCCTCAGCCTCCCGAGTAGCTGGGACTACAGGCATGCGCCACCATGCCCAGCTAATTTTTGTATTTTTAGTAGAGACGGGATTTCACCATGTTGACCAGGACGGTCTTGAACTCCCGACCTCAGGTGATCAACCCACCTGGGCTTCCCAAAGTGCTGGGATTACAGGCATAAGCCACCATGACCAGCCCCACTTTGCACGTTTTAAACATTGTTTTCAAACCACTGCATTCACAGTATTCCATAGTGTGACTGCACCTTCAAAGTGTTTTAACCAATTCCCCTAATGATGAACATTTAGGTTTGACTTTTTTCTTTCTTTCTTTCTTTCTTTTTTTAATAGAGACGGGGACTCGCTATGTTGCCCAGGCTGGAGAGCAGTGGCTATTCACAGGTGTGATGCCACTACTGATCCGCACGGGAGTTTTGACCTGCTCCGTTTCTGACCTGGGCTGGTTCTCCCCTCCTTAGGCAACCTGGTGGTCCCTCGCTCCCAGGGGGTCACCATGTTGATGTCGAACTTAGTGTGGACACCTGATCAGCATAGCGCACTACAGCCCAGAACTTCTGGGCTCAAGAGATCCTCCAGCCTCAGTCTCCCGAATAGCTGGGACTACAGGCACGTGCCACCGCACCTGGCTCTGAGCTTTGACTTTTTATAAAAAATGCTGTGAGGAGTATCCTGCATACACTTGTCCACCTAGTTGTGTATTTCTGTAGGATAGATTTATAGTAGTATAATTCCTGGATCAGAGATTATGTGCATTAAAGTATATATCATAATATTGCCTTCTTGAAAGATCGTTCCTGTTTCCTCTCCTACTGGCAACGGATGGTAATATCTTCTAATCTGGTGAATTCTGATCCCCAAACTGTAGGATGCAAAAGCTTCCACTCCACTCCCTGCCCTGGTTCCTTGCAATGACCCAGGTTATTCTTTTGTTCTTCTGATCACTGTTTCTTTATTTTTTCCTTCATTTTAATGATGAAAAACATTTTTATTGTGAATAGCACACATACCACAGGTTACAGAAAACTAACATTTATAGCTTAAAAAATACTAATATAATGGCTCTCAAACAACTGTCATGTAGGATAAGAGAGAGGACATGATTAGGGCTCTCTAAAGCCCCAGTGTGCTCCTCTCTTCCCCAAACCTTTAATAAATATCACCTGAACCTTCGTGGGAACCGTTCTTTTTCCTTAGAGTTGGGACATAAGCTGTGTGGAGGATTTGTACTGAGTCAGCATAGATATGATAGAACCGTGTTTCTCCAAATTCTCTTCCTTTCACATTTCCAGGTCAGTGGGGGGCCAGAAGGGACCTTCTATGTGAGATCTGGAGCTATAGCTACATTCTGTTTCAGCTCAGGAAGGTCAGCGTAAGGCGTCAGACACCACCTATGATGTCACTTATCTGCCGGCTCCCGTAGGCGTGGGGCCTGAGCTGGCCTGCCGGCTCCTGTAGATGTGGGTTTCCCTGCCTGGCTCGGGGTGCCAGCTTCTCCACAGGCCATTTACATACTGAACTTGGACCAACGCAGGTGTCAGCCCGTCCTGGTAGGTTTCAGCTCCTCCTTGTTATTCCCCACTTCACATCCATCTTTCTTTCCAGGCTGCCCATTCTATCAGCTTCAGATCCCAGGCAAGAAGCAAAGCCAACAGCCGGACACTAAGGTTTAACCAGCTCCCACAGTTGCCCAGGGTCAGATGCCTGTCACAGATTCCTCCTCCCAGTGGTGCCGCTTCTCTAATCAGCCCCTGCCTGATGGATATGTGTCCTCCGTGGAGGGGTTTGTTGTGGCTGTCTCTGAATTTGTGTTGGTCTCTGATTGTGTCTTTATTTTCTTTCTTTCCTACTTTCTCTCTTTCTTTCTTTCTTCCTTCCTTCCTGCCCTCACTCCCTCTCTCCCTCCCTCCCTCTCTCTCTTCCTTCCTTTCTCTCTCTTTCTTTCCCTTCCTTCTTTTTTCCTTCCTTCCTTCTCTCCCTCCCTCCATCTCTCTTTCTTCCCTCCCTCCTTCCCTCTCTCCCTCCCTCTCTCTCTTTCTTTCTTTCTTTCTCCTTCCTTCCTTTCCTCCCTGTCTCTCTCTCTTCCTTCCCTTCCTCTTTTCCTCCCTCCCTCCCTCCCTCCCTCCCTCCCTCCCTCCCTCCCTCCCTCCCTTCCTTCTTCCCTCCCTCCCTCTCTCCCCCCCTCTCTTTCTTTTCTTTCTTTCTTCCTTCCCTCCCTTCCTCTCTCTTTCACTCTTGTTGCCCAGATCTCTGCTCACTGCAACCTCTGCCTCCCAGGTTCAAATGACTCTCCTGCCTCACCCTCCCATGTAGCTGAGATTACATGCATGCACCACCACGCCTAGCTGATTTTTGTATTTTTAGTAGAGATGAGGTTTCACCATGTTGGTCAGGTTGTTCTTGAACTCCTGACCTCAGGTGATCTGCCCTCCTCAGCCTCCCAAAGTGCTGGGATTACAGGTATGACCCATTGTGCCCAGCCACAATTGTGTCTTTAATTGTCTTGCCTGTCAACTGAGAATAGGTGAACCCAGCCTGAGGCTGCTTCCATACCTGTGCCCCTGAGCCTCTGCTGGGCCTCACCCCTATTAGGGTGACTGAAACTCTAGCAACCCCAGCTCCAGGCACAGATGAGGGCAGGTGCAGAAAACTGTAGACTGGTCTTACCCATGTGAGTGAAATGGTCTGAAAAGGTCATATCTACATGTGGTATTTCAACTGTCTGTTGGGTGCTCAAATCAAAAAGCTAAATATCGGGTAAAAAAATGAACTGAACTAGGAAGCTTAATTCAGCTCTACTACTGTCTAGGCATGAGATTTTGGCCAGGTTGCTTTGGTTGAGCCTCAGTTTCCTCATTTATATATGCAAATGGGGATCTTCAGGCCTGTTTGACTCTGCTATTGCATGGTGGTGTGGTTTTCCTCACAGGTGTGCATGTTATGAGTTCGAATGTGACATGTCGACTGGCATGCTCTTTATTTTTAATTTTTTTAATTTTTAATTTTTTGAAATGGAGTTTCACTCTTGTTACCCAGGCTGGAGTGCAATGGCGCAATCTTGGCTCACCACAATGTCCGCTTTCTGAGTTCAAGCGATTCTCCTGCCTCAGCCTCCCGAGTAGCTGGGATTACAGGTGTGCACCACCATGTATGATTAATTTTGGATTTTTAGTAGAGATGGGGTTTCTCCATGATGGTCAGGCTGGTCTCAAACTCCTGACCTCAGATGATCCACCCACCTTGGCCTCCCAAAGTGCTGTGATTACAGGTGTGAGCCACAGTGCCTGGCCTGGGGTGCTTTTTAATGTCACCCACAATAGACAGGAGGCTGCCTTGATTTAATGAACAAGTCTCTGCCCATTCTGCAGAGACTGAGGATTGTGGTGGAGAGAGACATCATGAACTCGGAGAGACAGTCAAAAATAGACAATGGTCCTAGGGTGAGAGGGGAAGCAAGAATGGCCAGTTCAGACCGAGCAGGCAGATCAGGCAGAAAGGTGCTGGACACTGAGACCCTGGGACTCAAGCTCAGAAACATCAGAGGGAAGAAAGAAGTCAACAGCTCAAAGGCAAGCCCCAGATTCTCCTGTCTTGGGATGGCGTGGTTGGCAAATTATTTGTGCCAAGACTTCTTATGAGAGAGAGTCAGAGAGAGAGAGAGAGAGAGAGAGAGAGAGACTGGAGATCGAGATGAATAACAGAGTTCACCTAAGCGTAATTTAATCTCTGCCCCATTTTCCTAGGCTTATAGTATCCTTATTACCCTTGGAGAACCATGTTTCCTCCAGGCCTTGTTAGAGGAAAGAGCAGAGTCCTGAAACCAGAGTGAAGCGTAGTTTGGCCTCCTCCCTCTGGGAGTCGTCTCAGGGAGCCACCTGGTCCATCAGCCTTGCCCAGGCAGAACACCATTGGTTCCTCTGGCAAGTCAGGTCCTTGGAAAATACACGTTCCCCTGCATTTCCCTGCTACTGAATCAGAAGCTGTTCCCAAGACTGAGCCAGAGCAGCTGAGTCATGCTTGGTCCTGAGTTTAGCAAGTGCCCAGCATAGAATGAGCAGGGAAGAAGAGCTTGTTGTTGCTGAATGCAATAGGAAAGGCACTTTCGTGGCTTCTGAGTGGAAGTTCCCTGCCCCTCAAGCCCTCCAGCTCAGAGGTGTGCTTCTGCCTCTCTGTTATCTCCCAGATTTAGTTGTTAACCTAAGGGTGCTGTTTGGGAACTGTGGAGGTTCCATTCCTCTTGCTTCCTTCCTTCCTTCTCAGGCTGCTCAGAGCCAGAGCCCTTCTTGACTAAGACCCTGCAGAGACAAGCCCTAGGAATTCGAGCACCCCTAGGGCTAGGCGCTGTCTGTTTTGATCACTGCTGTGTCCCCCCACTCCCCGAACAGTCAGCTCACCATGCTGCTGGAGGCATGATTGGAATGTTTTATTTTCTCCTAATGACAGATTATAAACCACTTCCCCATTCTGCAGTCGGGTTCTCCTTTTAAACCCAGAATGATGGGTGTGTGTTTGGGTGGGAGAAAGGGGAGAGGGAGGGACACTCACAGTGGGTGCTGCCGGCTGAGCTGGGAGAGCTCTCTGCCTTCGTGCTACCTGATCAGGGGGATTTGGTGAACTTACTCAACCCTCCACACCTCCTAACTCCCACCCCTGGCACTCCTGACTAAAGCTTCACTTAAGGACATGAGATGCCCTAGAGTGTCCCAGAACACATTTCTTTCCATGATACGTGGTCTATAGCAGGAAATTTGACTTGGGGATGAGGGGTTGACAAGGCTGGGCTCCATCTCTATTTCATCTTCTCTCTATGACATAACAAATAACAAAGAGTCTTTACTTCTTGTAAAGACTCACTCAAGACCTCCGCTCACCCTTGCCTCACTTCTCTGTAGCAGTTTGGAAGCAGTAATAGAAACACCCAAGTAAAAATGGTTTATCAAAAAAAGTTATTTAATGAAATCATTTAACAAAAAATATAGGCAGGTGGTTCCAGCCTTGGTTTAATCAGCCTTGATGATTAAAGTACCTTTTGGGGTTCAGTTTTTTTTTTTTAAATTGATATAAAGTATCCATAACACAATTTACCATTTAAACCATTTTGAAGTGTCAATTTCACGGCATTAATCACTTTCACATTGTTGTACAATTACTACTTTGTATCTTCAGAACTTTTCAAGATCCCGAACATAAACCTTGTACCCATCAGGCCATCACTCCTCATGCTCACTCCTCTCAGTCCTGGTAACTACTGTTCTCTTTCTGTCTCTGTGAGTTTGTTCACTCTCAGTACCTCATGTAAGTGGAATCAAAATATTTATCTGTTTACGTCTGGCTTATTTCACTTAGCATAAAGTTTTCAAGCCTCGTGCATGTTGTAACATGTATCAGTACTTCATTCCTTTCTCAGGCTGAAGGATACTTCGTCACTTACATACCACATTTCGTTTAGTCATTCATTCATTCATTGATGATCATTTGGGTTGTTTCCATTTTTGTCTCCTGTGAATAATGCTGCTATGAATATTAGTGCACAAATACTGGTTCAAGTCCCTACTTTCACTTGGTATGGGTCAATTCCTAGAAGTGAAATTGCAGGATCATGTGGTAATTCTACGTCCGCTTTTTTGAGGAAAGCTGCCACGCTGTCTTCCACGGTGGCTGCACCATTTTACATTCCCATCACCAACGCTTAAGAGTTCTAGTTTCTCCCCTACACCTTGATGGACTGAGATAGAGTCTTGCTCTGTCGCTCAGGCTGGAGTGCAGGGGCGTGATCTTGGCTCACTGCAATCTCCGCCTCCTGGGTTCAAGTGATTCTCCTGCCTCAGCCCCTGGAGTAGCTGTGATTACAGGTAACTACCACTACACCTGGCTAATTGTTTTTGTGTGTGTTTTTAGTCGAGACAGGGTTTCACCATATTGGCCAGGCTGGTCTCAAACCCCTCATATCAAGTGATCTGCCCACCTTAGCCTCCCAAAGTGCTGGGACTACAGGCCTGAGTCACAGCACCCAGCCTGATTTTCTTTCTTTTGATACTAGCCATCCTAATGAGCATGCAGAGCTGTCTCACCGGAATGTAGATTTTCACTTCTTATAACACAGAGTGCCATGGGCTCAGGGGCAGGATGGACAGAGCTCCAGCAGGTGATATAGAAATTATGGTGAGGGGTAGGGTGCCAGGGCAGGCTTTCTAAACCATGCAAGGGAACGTAGTAAGAATGTGGCCTCCTCTGCTTCCTCTGACCACAGTGGGGGCTGCACTGACACTGAAACCAGAAGAACCAGTGGACATGAGGCTTGGAAAGTGACTCTGAAGGGAAGGGAGGACCCACAGGGCAGCACGTAGGCAGGAGGCCTTAGAGAGTAGTGGAAGTGTGCCCTGAAGATGAGCCAACGAAGGAAGGCCGGCTGTCCTTGGGCAGGGAGTCCTTGCTGATCAGGCCATGCGTGGCTAGGATCCGGAGGAGTCCATGGCGAAACTTCTGGCCAATGAAGGCGTAGATGAGGGGGTTGAGGCAGCTGTGGAAGAATCCCAGAATCTCGGTGGCATCCAGGGCCCGGTCGATGTCGTTGCGGCGCTGACAGGTCTCCTTGATCATCTGGGTCCTCATGAGGGTGTCTGTGAGCAGGACCAGGTGGTAGGGCAGCCAGCAGAGCAGGAAGATGAGGACCACAGCAAAGATGACACGCATGGCCCGCTGCTTCTGCCCCATGTGGGCCTTAAACAGTGTGCGCAGGGTGAATCCGTAGCAGAACAGCATGACCAGCAGTGGCAAAATGAAGCCAAAGGTCTGGGGCAGGATCCGCAGCACCATCCGCCATGTTGCTGTGTTGTTACCCATGTCCTCATAGCAGACAGGGCTAAAAGAGGGCGGGTAGATGGTCCTTCGGAAAAGCAAGACAGGCAGCGACAGGATCAAGGACAGACCCCAGATGCTGAGACATATAAACTTGACCAAGTAGCGCTTCTGGGTCAGTGTGCGTGTGGCATGGACAATGGCCAGGTAACGGTCCATGCTGATGCAGGCCAGTAGCAGGATGCCACTGTAGAAGTTGACTTCCTTCAGGAGTGAGACCACTTTGCACAGGGGTGTGCCAAAAATCCAGCCATTCACCTTGGAGGCAGCCCAGATGGGCAAGGTCAGGGCAAAGAGCAGGTCGGCCAAGGCCAGGTTCAGCAGGTAGACATCGGTGACAGAGCGGCCGACCCTGCTGTATAAGATGACCAGCATCACGAGGGAGTTTCCCAGCAGGCTCAGCAGGAACACTAGGGCATAGATAATGACCACAAAATACTTATTGATTTCCAGGGATTCTGGCTCACATGGGGCAGCATCTGTTAGAAGAGGGGGCAGGTCAGAGCTGTAAGTGTAATTACTAAGATCTTCACCTTCAAAGAGATCTTCAAGGCTGTAGTCATCCCAGTTAATATGCTCCATTTTTGAGGAAAACTTAAATCCTGACCTATAGGAGAGAGAAGAGGTTACTGCACAGTAAAGCCCCCAGATTCTTGCCCATCCACCCAAGAAACTGGGATAGGATTCTTTGTGTTGGCTTGAGTATTACATTCAAGTAATTTTCCCTTCAAATTTCTAAGTAGTAACTCTTAGGTTATGAGATAAATTTGGTGATAAATGGTACATTCTATAAAAGGACCATAGTTCTTTTTAATATAAGAGAAATTCTTAGCATTTCTTTTAGCATCGCCATCACCTAAAACTTTGTAGAAAGTTCTCTTTGGATAATCCCCACAGAACACTCGATACTACCTGGATCCTTCAGTGGCGAGCATCTTTGGCTATTAAGGCTGGTTTAATGTTCAGAAATGTGAGCCACCACTCAGTTCTTTCTTTTTTTCTTTTCTCATCTTCTTCTTTGTTTTTTTTTTTTTTGGTAGAGATGGGGTCTTGCTATGTTGCTCAGAATGGTCTTAAACTCCTGAACTCAAGTAATTCTCCTGCCTCTGTCTCCCAAAGTGCTGGGAATACAGGCATGAGCTACCGCACTCAGCCCCATTCAGTTTTTAGTCAGGAGATTAAGCAGGTCCTCCAACTGGGCTGTACCCTCAGAAAAGATTGTGGTTTGGCTATAAAGCCGAAACACGAATCCCTTTGTCCAATTTTCTGAAGGTTATTTCAAAAGACATATTCTGGAAAACGGATTGAACAATATTGGCATGGAGTTTTGGAAGGCTCGAGCTAGAAGAATCTTTAGTTAATTAGTAAGGCCCAGCATTTCTCTTTTGGGTAGAAGGAGGCCAGCTCTGGGAATGTGTGTGTAGTTTGGAAAAGTATATTAAAAATAATAAGCAAGCAGGCTGCCTGATTCTCTCTGTGGGTGGAAACGTAACAGCTTATTTGGGGAGCTCTGGACAGCCATGTGCCACTATGTGGGATGACCAGACACAGCCAGTTCGCTCCCAATAAGAGGGAGGGACGGCAGGAAGCAGAGAAAACAGGGGCTGCATTACCTTTGCTTGGTATCTAGCTCTGCTTAGCCTTCCTGTTCTCCAAGTGTGTGCCTCCATCCAGCCCTGACTCCCTTCTTCCCCTCAGATTCAGTCTAGCTCTGCGGGCTCTGCCCTTGCCACAGGATCAGCAGAGATCCTTCTCTGGGGAAGCCTTGGTGTAGAGGGTGGGCTTGCAGCTGTTCAAAAATATTATCTCAGCTGGGTGTGGTGGCTCACGCCTGTAATCCCAGCACTTTGGAAGGCCAAGGCAGGCGGATCACTTGAGGTCAGGAGTTCGAGGCCAGCCTGGCCAACATGGTGAAACCCTGTCTCTGTTAAAAATACAAAAATTAGTCAGGCATGGTGGCGCACAACTGTAATCCCAGCTACTCGGGAGGCTGAGGCACAAGAATTGCTTGAACTCAGGAGGTGGAGGTTGAAGTGAGCTGAAATCGCATCACTATACTCCAGCCTGGGTGACAGAGTGAGACTCTGCCTCAAAAAAAAAAAAAAAAGTATCCCAGTTTCTCAAAGAAGAAGTCAACTAAAGCAAACAGCTCCCTAATTACCTTCTTTTTGAACCACAAAATAGATCACCCTCCTGTCATTTCCTTAGAGTAAGGGATGACTATCCTACCACCAACCATGTCCAAGTCCATAACCTAACCTCAGATGGAACCCAGTGTCAGAGAAAAACCAGGAAATCAAATGCCCCAGGACCCACTTCACACTCACCAGGCTGGGCACACTCAGAAAAAGATGCCCAAGAACAATGTGGGTGAGGAAGTGGAGAAGTCAGAACTCTCCCACATTGCTGATGGGAATGAAATATGGAGCAGCTGTTTTGGAAAATAGTTTAGCAGTTGCTCAAAAAAGTTAAACATAAACCCACCACATGAACCAGCAACCCCATCCTAGGTATATACCCAAGAGAACTGAAAGCTAATGTTCATAGCAGCATTCATCATTAAGTCCAAAAAGTGGAAACAAACCAAATATCCATCAGCTGATGAATGGACAGACAAATTGAGGCACAGTCATGAGCAACTGAAAGACAGATCACATAGACCAGTGCTCCCATAAGATTATACTGCATTTTTAGTGTTCTTTCCTGTTTAGCTATACAAATAGTTACCATGGCGTAACAATTACCTACAGTATTCAGTATTTAGAAGCAGTAGGCTTTACCATATAGCTCATGCTATAAATCGTATACTCCACGATGTTCACACAACATATTTCTCAGAACATATCCCCATTGTTAAGCAACCTAGGACTGTATTACATTCAATGGAATATTATTCAGCCATGAGAAGGAATGAGGAGCTGATACACAACACAACATGGATGAACATTGAAAATGTTAGTCTAGGTGAAAGAAGGCAGACACAAGGTTTTCCTATTGTGTGATTCCGTATACGTGAAATGACCAGAGTAGGCAAATGGGTTGAATCAGTAGAGACAGAAGGTAGACTGGTGGTTGCCAGGGGGCAAGGGGAGTTGGGGGAGGGATGTTAATGAGCATGAATTTTTTCTTTTGAGTGATGAAAGTGTTCTGGAATTAGTGGCAATGGTCGTAGAATATATTAAAAACTTCAAATGGGTGACTTTTGTGGTATGTGACTTACGTCTCAATTAAGAAAAAGATGAACCAAAGGGTGCACAGCCTTGCAGAGCAAACACAAATATTACAACAATAACAACTGAAGTCCTAGGGAGGATTTCTCTTTAGCAGAAAGGAAGTCTCTGTTGTCATCCATCATATGTAGCAAAGAAGAAAGCTTAAGAGGATTAAGCAAAACTGAAAAAATAATGCCCTTTTCCTCCAAGAGTCATGGAATTCTTAGCCATCACCTTCCTGAAAAGCAATTATTTTCCCTTTTAAGAGACGGGGGCCAGATAAGTTGCATTTCCAGCATGCCAAGGCAACTGATAGAGAAGATTCAATCAGTTGATGAACCTAGAGAGGCATGGTGATGACGGTCAGGCCCTGCCTGGCCAGAAGCCTGAGGAGGTAGTGAGAGGGCTGGGAATACAGCTTACGGGACCAGTATAGTCAGCAAGACCTGAAAGACGTCACCAGCTCTGCAGTCCCATGGTCGAGAACAGGTTTGCTTAGAGGCCCAGGGTATGTCCAATGAAGTCACAAGGTCAAAGGTGGATCACCTCTGAGAGCAGATGATTATAGATGCTCTAAGGGAACAAATGACCCAGGAGAAGACCCATCTTTGAAAATAGATATAGGGCATATTGGGTACAGAGAGCTTGTGCTCTTAGAGAGCAGAGCTTTGCATGTATAAGCATTGGCTGTGATGAGCCAGGGCTGAGGCTGCTGCAGAAACTGCCTTGTCAGCACAGGCAGCAGTGGCAGAGCATGTTTCACAGGTAAATCCTCACTGTGGATAATCTAGTGCTCAGCTGTGCTGGGGGTGGGCTGGAGGTGTGTGGGTGAGCTCATGTTCCCAGGCCTTACGGGTCAACTTGAGGTTCCAGAGGGAGAGCATGGCATTAAGTCAACCTGCATATGGTCCGCTCACATTCTCTTCAGGACAGAAGGTAGAGAGCTCAGCAAGGGGAACCAGGTCAGGCCAGTGACCGACAGCTCCTGGGGTAGGGAGTAGGGGTGTTTGTTGTTGATGTTTGTTTTTTAGTTTGCCAATCTCTACAGAGGATGACTTGGCAGTTAGATGAACAAACTAAGGGAAGGAGATGACACGTCTGAGGCCTACATTGTCCTCACAGGTACATGATCTCCATGGCTCATTATAAATAGATATGATTAGGCCCTGTTCATAGAAGACCGAGGTACAAGGAGGATCAGCTGACCTAACAGGAAGACTCAGCAACCAACTTGTGATCTCAGGGTGGAGAAGTGGTACAACCAGGGTTCCGGTTCCAGTGAGGTGTAAAGGGCTCCACTTGTATTATTTGCAGACTCTAGCCCTGCCTCTTAAAAAAAGTACACCTCATATATTAAATGTATTTATAAGCTAAGTTCTTGAGATATCATTAAATCAACCTGTATATTGTGCACTCACATCCTCTGATGTTTTGTGCATTTTTTCCTTTTGCTGTTTGTTAGGCCCAGAAAGAAAGAAACAGCTCTTGCAGGGATGATAAACCAAACACCCTTCAACTGCTGGGTCCGGCTGACCACCCAGTCATATTTTCCAGGATCAAATGGGGGCTTCCTTGACTTAGGGAAAAAAATGCTAGCCCCTTAGTGACTCATGGTAGTTTGGAAATTCCATAGATGATGGTGTGAATTCTAATTTATTCCATAAAAATGCTCTAGAACGAGAGACATTTACAAGATCTCAAACATCTAAGGCAATCTTTTTAACAACAAAACAATTAAACAGTCATTTTAATACAATTCCAGTATTCTTTCTCTCTATAAATATAATCCAGAGGTGCAATAAAATTATTTAATGTAAAATTAAAAAATAAAAATTACAGGTGCAGTGGCTCATGCCTGTAATCCCAGCACTTTGGGAGGCTGAAGTGTACAGATCACAAGGTCAGGAGATCGAGACCATCCTGGCCAACATGGTGAAAGCCTATCTCTACTAAAAACACAAAAATTAGTCACGCATGGTGGTACGTGCCTATAATCCCAGCTACTCAGGAGGCTGAGGCAGAATTGCTTGAAACCAGGACAGGGAGGCTTCAGAAATTGTGCCACTGTATTCCAGCCTGGGTGACAGAGCAAGACTGTCTCAAAAAAAAAAAAAAAAAAAAAAAAAATCCACAAAGATTTGCATTTAGTGTTGGGAAGTGGGAAGTCAACAGTGCTTGGCCTATCCTCAGACCCAGTCCTAGCCCAGGCAAGGAGGGCTGGCTGAGTCTTGGAAGGCCACCAGGCTGAGGGAAGAGGATGAGCAGCCAGTTGCCCTGAGGGGTTGGAGAAGGTTGTGGCGGGGAGGAACAGAGATTCTCCCTTTGGGGATGGGGAGTCCCAAAGCGAGAAAATGAAGAGGCCAAGGGGTGAGGGTGAGGGGCCCCCAAGGGTGGGGAGAGATGCTTGGGATAAATGTAGGCTTAGTGTCAAGGGGAACAGAGGCCAGAGACTTGCTAGCTGGTGGGAAGGGTGGGTGTTCCAAGACTTACCAGGATGCTGGGCTTTTCACCTGTAGAACACCTCCAGGACAGCAGCTACAGCCTATGAAAGGGAGGTGGTGGTGAGAACACAGTGGAGGAAGTGAGTGGTGGATTAGATTGCTCAATGCAATGCAGGGGTGGAGCTGCTGAGGGTGCGGGATGATTCTGATAAATTTGAATAATTAGTCCCCAGGTCAGCCCTCAGATGCACAGTCATTTCATGGACTCATAGAGTTTATATTGGAAAGGGACCTGATGGGTTTTCTAGCTAGTCTTTCCATTTTACAGATGGGAAAACTGAAGCCCAGAGAAAGGAAATGGCTTGCCCAGGATTGCATGGATTTCTCTCATCTTTGCTGTATCTCAGAGCCCCCGGCTCCTTCAGCTGCGCTGTTTGAGTCTCCTGGCACTCCAGCTGCCTCAGGTTCCCCTGTCGTACCCTTGGCCGTAGTACTAAGGCTCTTGAATGTCTTTCACATGTCAAGGGGAAGCAGCACACTAAGACGACAGAGAGGGACTGAAGCTTCTGGTGAGTCTGGTGGTGTTCCTGCCTGAACCTGATGCATCTACTCCTCAGCCCCATTCCTGCCTTCATCTTACCCCTCACTCCCCAACTGTCTGCTCTGACCACAAGTCCATCTCAGGGTATTGATAGCCCTTCTTGGTTCATACACTTAGCATTGGGTCTGAGGACCCCAACTCTGCAGCAGCTACCACCCTTGGAGCCAAGATCCTCTAATTTGGAAAGAAAGCCTTTCGGTAGAAGTGAAGAGCCCACCCAAGTCCAAATACATTTTTCAAAACAGTATTGATGACCCTAAGAATGTATTTTATTAATTTCCTATTGATTACAAGTGAATGAATTAATCCAGGTAGAGCCATGGGTGCTAATTCTGCTCCCTCCCAAGCTCTCTCCTCCGTTACTCCTTACCCTGTCTCTTGCTCCATGCATCTCAGGGCCCAGAGGGGACTCAAAGCCTGTGGCAGACACACTTAAACTGCCTACCTATCCCAAGGAAAGAATCTTTGAGACCAACTGTTCAGCAAACGTTCCTTAGTCTTCCTTACATCTCTTTCTCATGCTGGGGAAGAATGCAATGCCACCTGGCCAGTTGATGCGAAAACCAGATAGAGGCCCATTACACGTGGAAGAGGCAGATGAGAGCAGAGCTGGCTGAGCAATTCTGGGCAAGTACTTTTCCTTTCTGAGTCTCAGTTTACTCATCTGTAAAATGGGGCCAATGCAAAATCCAACTCATGGGGTTGTGGTGAGGATGAAATGTGGGATTGCTTGTAAAGCAGTTGAGACATAAGTAAAGTACAATGTTAGCTTTCATTGTTGTGATCATTATTATTGGAAAGTTTATTCACTGGTATCATGCTGCCCCTCTCACCACATCCCCAATCAAGGGAAAGCAGTGTGCAGTGGGTCTGCTTTCAAGGCCAACTTTGATGACATCTAATTTACTTTGACCTGTATATTAATTGTCATATTAACTGTAATGTTGAGTGTCTGCCAGGTTCTGGCTTCTGGGCAAAGTGCTTTTCAGAATTTATATCAGTTAATCCTCAGGACAACCTCATGAAGTAGGCACTTTCTGGATGAGGAAACGAAGACTCTGAGAGGTTAAGAAACTTACGCAGAGTGACACAGCTGAACTAGGTTTTCAGCAGTTTAAAACACTTCTAAAAATCTGCTCTCAAATCCTATATCCTGTTCACTGTAATAAGGAGCAGGATCCCAGCCTCAAGTTTCTGAGCTCCATTAGGTACCTCCTTGTGTCTCAGACAGCCAGATACAAAGGATGCAAAGAGGGGAGTCCAGATTTGACATTTCCTGGTCAGCCTCTTTCTTCATGCCCCTTAGGTCAATTTCATTTTCATAGAGATCACTGTGGTTATACATAGGGTGGAGTGAATGAAAAAACTGGCTTCTGGTGCGGTGGCTCACACCTGAGATCCCAGCACTTTGGGAGGCTGAGGTGGGTGGATCACTCGAGGCCAGAGTTCAAGAGCAGCCTGGCCAACATGGTGAAACCTCCTTTCTACTAAAAATGCAAAAATTAGCTGGGTGTGGTAGTGCCCACCTGTAATCCCAGCTACTCGGGAGGCTGAGTCATAAGAATTGCTTGAACTTGGGGGGCAGGTGTTACAGTAAGCTGAGATTGTGCCATTGCACTTCAGCCTGGGCAACAGAGTGAGACCCTGTCTCAAACAAAATCAAAACCAAAACACAAACCTGGCTTCTAATCCTGGTTCTGCCATTTATGGGCAGGGTGAGCTTGAAGTCATTCTTTCTGGGCCTGGTGTGTGCCTTTGGAAAATGGGAGCTTCTTCTAAGTCTGTTCTGTATAGCGTGGTAGCTACTAGTCATGTGTAGCTATTTAAATTTAAATTAATTAAAACAAAGCCCAGGCAAGGTGGCCCATGCCTATAATCCCAGCACTTTGGGAGGCCAAGATGGGGGATCACTTGAGCCCAGGAGTTTTAGACCAGCCTGGGCAACATGGTGAAACCCTGTCTCTAAAAAAAAAAAAAAAAAGAAAAAAAAAAAAAAACAAAACATTAGCTGAATGTAGTGGTACATGCCTGTAGTTGCAGCTACTTAGGAGGCTGAGGTGGGAGATTCACCTGAGATCTGGAGGTTGAGGCTGTAGTAAGCCACGATCATGCCTCTGCACTCCAGCCTGGGCATTGGGGTGAGACCCTCTCTTTCTCTCTCTCTCTCTCTCTCTCTCTCTCTCACACACACACACACACCCCCCACACACACACACAAAGGGGGAAAAATGAAAACGAAAATTCAGCTCCTTAGTTACACTAGTCACATTTCAAGTGCTCAGTAGCCACATGTGACTAGTGGCTACCATATTGGATAGGGCAGATCTAGAACAATTCTATTATTGCAGAAAATTCTTTCGTACAGCATTGTCTAGGTGAAGAGTTAGTTGTCTTTAGCTCTAAGGTTCTACACTTCTCAGAGGCCTCAGAAGAGGCTGCAGTTTCCAGATCCTTTCCATTAGAAGTACGTCCCCAGCATCTTAGACTGAACAGGTCACCTACCTGCTGTTATTGGAGTGGCCACTGAAGTCTTCAATATGCCTCAAGGTTGGGTGGTAGTCAGAGCTGTTACACAGGAAAAAAATGAAGCATCCCGGACGATGAAACTTCTGGGTTGAGAGGGGAGAAATCCAGGAGGCCCTCCTGGGGAGGTGTTCCCACAGAGGAACAATAAGGTCTGTCCTGGGACTTTGACCCAGGACAGGTGCCACCTAGTGAATCTGGGATGAGCACTGTGGATTTTCACATCTTTCTGTCTGATGGCTTCTGGAGGAGCCTACCAGTCTGAAGGTGGAGATTTGCCTACCCACCTTCTGTCTCTGAGTGTTTTGAACCTGCACTTCCTTTTTTAACAGGGAAGATGCAGGCATCCCAGCCCCCCTCAACAGACTTGTCTGAACTCACACACAGTTTCTTCCTTCTTTCCAGGGTCAGAGTGAGAAATGTCCCTCCTTCTGTTTCTGTTGAATCCCCTGCACCTGACTGTGGGACCCATTGCCTCTCCGATCCTTGAGGATCCTGCTTTCTTTCCCCTCTGTCCTGGCTCTTTTCCTTCCATCACACCTTACTCATGCCTTTATCAAGCTCCCTCTGTCCTAGTACCCTTTTGCTAACACAGCTGCTCTTTCCACTTCCTCTGCTGCTCAACAAATACACTGCAACTGGCTTCCTTCCTACTGCTCCACTGAAATAGCTTTTGCCAAGGTTTCCAATGACCTCTGGGTTGCTTCACCCAGCAAATTCATTTTTTTTAGACCAGACTGCTTTTTTTCCCCCTAAGACAGCAGATTGAGGCAGTGTTAGCATGCCTCTCCCACTTGGAAGGACAAAGTAGTGTGTAGAGATTCACACTGTGAATTTTTTTTCTCCAGGAACAAATGCAGGAAGTGAACAGGAAAACTGGAAGAATCCACAGAACTTCTGAAGGAAGTGGCAGGCTGCACCTACTCTGTGAGACAGGCAAAAAACTCATCTCTAGGAAGAAAAGTACTGGACTCAGGAAGGAGAAAACGGCTGCCTATTTTCAGCGATCACCACTGCTTACAACACCCTGACTAACCAGAAGTCCTGGGTCTGTCCACGTGATAAGTTCACTATAATTATTATCAGCATTCAAGAAAGTCAGCACTCTAAGCCTATCTACAGCCAAAGAACCTTGCAGAGTTTATGTCATTCCCCTCCCACTTCTGTCAGAGGTGGTGCTGGTATCCAATGCTGGGAGTCTTGAAGACAGGTCACATTACTGGATCCCTTGTAGACATTCCCCAGCACCAGCCCAGAGTCTGGCTAGACCCAGAAGAGCACTGTAGTCTGGCTCTCAGGAAGTCCCATTCTTAGAGGAAGGCGGAGAACATCACATCAGGGGAATACCCTGTGGGACAAAAGAATTTGAATGGCAGGCCTTGAGTCCCAGATCTTTTCACTGGTGGGAAGTTTCCTACAGCAGAGATACAATTGCTGTGCTGGGCAGAGGAGAAAAAGTTTGCATCTCTACCCCAAAAGGCAGACAGCCTCTGGTATTGTGAAGGGTCTTAGAGAAGGGGTCCTTGTTCCCCCTGCTATACCACTGCAGATGGAGCTGGGGCTTCTCCCAGAGGAATGCAGCATTGATGCACCTACAGACAGCCTTCCTGGAAAAAAACAGGGTGATTGCATCCCCATGGGTGGAGTACTTTTCACATTCAGGCTTGCATGACAGGCAGTCACAATTCCTCTCTGCTTGGAACATCAACATTTCTACAGATGAAAAGAACTGCCTGTCTGATCTGAATAGCCAGAACTCTGGGACAGCAGTGAGGCTGGGAGGTGAATAGCTTTCCAGCTGGCCTGGTGGGGGTCCTGAGGTAGCTCCTACCCTTCACCCTGAGAAAACCTCAGCACATCTAATTGAGATCTCTCCCAGCCACCTTCATCAAGGCTAAGATCTCTGCCCACCAGTGGGTATTACACCTACCCACCTGCTTTAGCTACAACTGATGCCTACCCAGGGATACTTCCCCTACTGGTCTGAAGCCTGAATGATCAACTCAGTAAATAAAATATTGGGGAAAAATTAAATAAATAAATAAAGAGTACACCATGAGAGAATGAATAAGCTTAAAGAGATTCCTGCCATTTCAACCCCATAGGAGACAGTAAACCTTCCCACACACCAAGTACACAACTACTACCACCAAGACCTGGGAGAGCCAGTGCACAAAGACTCTAACTAAGGAACTCACACAGAGTCTTCATTCCTAAAAGCCAAAAGTCTTCACCCATGAAAACCAAGGATCAAATTAGGCTAAAATAAACTATAAAGTCAGATCCTTAAGAAGAAAGAAAAAGAAATTACAAAAAATAGTCCAATCAAAAATAATTCAAGAATAACTTGAAAATAATTCAAGAATAACTAGTCTACCTAAATGAGAAGGAACCAGAAAAGTAATTCTAAGAAGGGCTAAAGGAAGGAGCTTTATCCAATTTTCACTGGTTTCCAAAATTAATTTTGTAAGAGTACTTTTTAAGGTACGATTCATGAGTTCTACCTGTCCAGAGCTCTGGGGTCGGTAGGCACAATGGAGTTTCCATTGGATAGCTAACGCCTTGCTGACAAGAATTAAGCAGAAATATTAAGCCAAGCATGGACAGAGATATTCATGGCCTGGGGGTCTGGAGAATCAGCAAGCTAGGAGTCTTATAACTAGTAGAAGTAGGAATAAGGTTATAGCCAATGCTTCTTGCCACACAGAGATTGCTGTAGGGGAAGAGAATGTGTCCTCTGCTTGGCTTTGTATCCAAGGTACCTCTGATGCCTCCAGGACATTCTTTAAATTAAAAGGATAAACTATTGCAGAAAGATAAACAGTTGCAGATGTAGGGGCTTTCAGTTATCAGCAGACACATTCCAAGCAGATGCATCCCCAGGAGTGGCTGATACAGCTCAACTTGGTATCTTATCAGCAAGGACATTCCTGGGTCTGCTTGGAGTCAGCTTAACCCACCTATGTGCTCAGGGGAAGGTTAAAAAAAAAAGTGGTTGGCGGGGGCGGTAAGCGAAGAAGCTAACATGGAGTCTGTACAGCTCTTAGCTAAGGAAGAGTCAGTTAGGCTAACAAAGGATAGGTTATCACAGTAACACCCCTGAAAGATCACACTAACTCTCCAGCAATAAATCCAAACCAAGATAAATTTTTGAAATACCAGATAAAGAATTTGAAAGGAAGGATTATTACTATAATTATTATTTTTTGAGATGGAGTTTCACTCTTGTTGCCCAGGCTAGAGTGCAATGGTGTGATCTTGGCTTATTGCAACCTCCACCTCCTGGGTTCAAGTGATTCTTCTGCCTCAGCCTCCTGGGTATCTGGGATTATAGGCATGTGCCACCACGCCAGGGCAATTTTTGTATTTTTAGTAGAGATGGTTTTTTTTCATGTTGACCAGGCTTGTCTCAAACTCTTTGCCTCAGGTGTTCCACCTGCTTTGGCCCCCCAAATGCTAGAATTATAGGCATGAACCACCATGCCTGGCCTAGAAGGTTGATTATTAAGCCACTTAAGGAGATACCAGAGAAAAGTAAAAACCAACGTAAAGAAATAGAAAAAAAACCCAGTTCATGTTATGAACGAAAAAATTTCCAGAGAGGTACATATCACAAAGAAAAACCAATCAGAAGTTTTCTTCATAAATCACCCAGTCTCAGGTAGTTCTTTATCGCAGTGTAAGAATGGAGTAATACACCTAGGCACTAGTTTCTCCAGTTCTTTAATGTTTAACTTATGTATTCATCAAAATTATAGTAAAGGGCCAGTGGAAATTAACCCTGGTTGCTAATGAAAACCTGACTTCCTGCATAACAATTCAAGGTAAAGGGAAAAAAGATATTCCACGCAAATGGAAACTAAAACCAAGCAGGCGTAGCTATTCTTATTTCAGGCAAAACAGACTTTTGAACAATAACAGTAAAAAAAACAAAAACTAAAACTAAGAAGGACATTATATAATGATAAAAGGATTAGTCCAACGGGAAGATATCATAATTCTAAATTTATATCCACCTAACACTGGAGCTCCCAGATTTATAAAACAATTACTAACAGACCTAAGAAATGAGATAGATAACAACACAATAGTAGTGGGGGACTTCCGTACTCCACTGACAGCACTAGAGAGATCATCAAGATAGAAAGCCAGCAAAGAAACAATGGGCTTAAACTGCACCCTAGAACAAGTGGATTTAACAGATAATGACAGGACATTCTTCCCCCAAACTGCAGAATATACACTTCTCATCAGCACATGGGACATTCCCCAAGACAGAACTTACGAAAGATCACAAAACAAGTCTCAATAAATTTAAGAAAATAAAAATAGCAAGTATCTTCTCAAACCACAGTGGAATAAAACTGGAAATTAACTCCAAAAAGAACTCTCAAAACTATACAAATACAAGGGAATTAAATAATCTGCTCTTGAAAGATTTTTGGGTTAGCAATGAACTCAAGATGGAAATTAAAAAATTCTTTGGTACGAATGATAATAGTGATACAATTTATCAAAACCCCTGGGATACAACAAAAGCAGTGCTAAGAGGAAAGTTCATAGTGTTAAATGCCTACATCAAAAAGTCTGCAAGAGAACAAATTGATAACCTAATGTCACACCTCAAGAAACTGGAGAAACAAGAACAAACTAAACCCACATCCAGCAGAAGAAAAGAAATGATGAAGATCAGAGAAGAACTAAATGAAATGGAAACAAACAGAAACAATATAAAAGATAAATGAAACAAAAAGCTGGTTCTTTGAAAAGATAAACTGAATTGATAGACCATTAGCGAGATTAACCAAGAAAAGAAGAGAGGAGATCCAGATAAGCTCAATTAGAAATGAAACTGGAGATATTAACAACCGATAACACAGAAATGCAAAAAACCATTCAAGGCTACTATGAACACCTTTATGTGCGCAAACTAGAAGATCTAGAGGAAATGGATAAATTCCTGGAAACATACAATCCTCCTAGATTAAGTCAGGGAAAAATAGAAACCCTGATCAGACCAATAATAAGCAGTGAGATTGAATCAGTAATAAAAAATTGCCAACTCCAAAAAGTCCAGGACAAGATGGATTCACAGATGATTTCCACCAGACCTTCAAAGAAGAATTGGTACCAATCCTACTGAAATATTCCAAAAGATAAAGAGGGAATCCACCCTAAGTCATTCTATGAAGCCAGTGTCACCCTAATAACAAAACCAGGAAAGGACATAACAAAAACTGAAAACCATAGACCGTCATGAACATAGACATAAAAATCCTCAATAAAATACTAGCTAATGGGATCCAACAGCACATCAAAAATATAATACATCATAATTAAGTGGGTTGCATCCCAGGGATGCAGGGATGGTTTAACATACACAAGTCAGTAAATACGATACATCACATAGATAGAATTAAAAAGGAAAACCATATGATCATCTCAATAGACACAAAACATTTAATAAAATCAAATACCTTCAACAAAACAGGCATTGAAAGGACTTAGCTCAAAGTAATAAAGCTATATATGACCAACCCACAGCCAACATCATGCTGAATGGGGAGAAGTTGAAAGCATTTCCCCTGAGAACTAGAGTAAGACAAAGATGGCCACTTTCACCACCCTTATTCAACATACTACTGGA